TTTTTTGTCTGGAACTTCCTTGATATCTTATCGAGGGGTTGACGATGAGCGAGTTAATTTATAGTTGACGTAAGTATAATTCACTTAACAGGGAGCTAGTTAGCCCTGTAGTTCTCGCTGATCAAACGCCGATTACAAGGTTTATACCGAAGACGTTAGATAATGTTTTCGTAAAAGTAATAATGTCCGATGTGAATCCACTGAAGTTAAATCTATCCCATTTTTTTTTAGTTATCATGCATTGTAACATACGTTAGTAATGTTATGTGTATTTTATATATATTATGGTTAAAGTTAGATTAATCCATTGTTTAAGTCAACTCCCTATAGAAAAATTTTAAGCCACAATGTACTAACTATATATATATTATATATTAGCAATTAATTAATTATGGTGTATATTTAAAAAAAAGTATATGATATACATATTATGTATTTATTGTATTGACTTATTAAAGCAATAGCATGGGCAACATGAAGTGATATATTTTAATGTGATTAAGAGGAGCATCTCTCATTAAACATTGGTAATCAGTATTTTAACATTTGGGTTGTGCCTCTGTTCGTCAAGTCAACAAAACTTGTCTCACGAATCAGTGGAACGTACGACTCGGAATGGGACTTTAAGCGATTGTTATAGGCCACTATATTTATACAGGCATGTGAAAGCCTCAGAGATCACAGACAATTACATTTGTATTTATTTTGGATGTTTTCAGTGACTCAGTAGATGAATTTGGCTCCGAAAGGAAAAACAACAACACACAATAACAACAACAACAAAATAACATGATTTTGTTTGTGAGGACAAAGATCTGTAAGTTACTACAAACCAATGAATCTGGCGTTAAGGTGCTTGATAGTCCGTGAAAATATAAAATCAAAGAGACAACAGGGAATGAGTCAGCTTAAATGGTTACCATGACGCCAGTATTTTCGTTGTTATTTTATTGTTTGTTTGTATTTAGTAAAAGTACAAGAACCTGATACCAAAACCAACTAGTTGATAAGAAGTTCCTTTGTTCCTAAACTGAATGAAAATACTGATGCTCTTTGCTGCAGTAGTCCTGGGTGGGACTAGTTGTTAACTTCAGTTATTGTTTAGACAACTTTACTATCTCTCCACTTTGTAGTCACATTTTCTTTATAATACGTCAGTAACACACACTGTACTTATTCATAAAATATTTGACGAATATAATACTTTTCAAATGATTTCCTTCACGTACAACTTCACAAATTTCGCGATCAGTCGTAAAGATTATATTTTTTATGAGTTTTGCCCCTCAGAAAATTGTGTAAGCATTCATTATCGCAGATAAATATGGTTTATATATATATCAGTCCTTCCAAAAGAATTCCATTAAAATACACAACATGGAACAATGTTGCAGAGAAAGAACTCACAGAAGATACCCTTTCCCATGAGGCCACATTGGATGACTTTTGTTCCCGAGATCATCAATGGCTTCATCCACAGTAGCTTAGATCGTTTCGTAAATTTACTTAATTCACAACAGAAGATATCAAAGTCCACACTGAGAGAAAGAGAGAGAAAATAAAAGTTTTATAAGAGCAGTCTAGCTTCTGTTCATTATTTTTCTTTATTTTCAGATTTGTCTTATAAATGTGGAAATGCATTGTCACCAACTTGATTACTTACATCTCAATAAGGTTTCATTTTCAAGTAAACATAGCATAGCCTTATAAAGCGCCATCTATTAATTGTTTTTGAAGCATGTAGAATATAAAATCATAAATAATGTTCAACGTTAAACTGGTACACAATTGAAAACATTTTATTTAGGCCTATATATGGCCTTCAAAAAGTTAACGACTCTACATGTTTCGACGTTACAATTTTCTATGCAGAACCTACCATTCGATAAATACTGTTTTAGTAACAAACATGTAAAGTAGTGCATGATATTTCAAAATATGATATTGATAAACTATAAACATGTTCGAATGAAACAAAGTGAGTTAGTTATCGATAAGTGACAGTCCTTTAGTTTTGATATTCTCGTGGATTAGGAATGAAAATAATAAACAAACAGCTTCTTAATAAATAATTAGTTTACCATAACAAATAAAAAATATTAGTTTATTTATTTTGCTCATCAACATATATATAGGTCAAAGAGGAGCAGAAGAGCTGGACGAAAATGAGGTTGGTGCCAGAGGTAAAACATATGTGTGTCGCTGTTTCTGCTTGAAAGTGTTGCAGGGTAAAAACACGAGTAGAATATATATATATACGTTGTAAAGGAAAAATAAGTAAATAAAAGTTATCATTAATTATTCTCTTTGATACATCAACGGAGCTACAGTCATTATGGAAACTAACGATTATGACTACATTTTTTTTTTACATAAAATGATTTTTATTTATTTGTCTTGCTGTTACATATATTGTACTCACCACTGTTTTAAAACGTACAATATATTAAGAAAAGTAAAGCATTAGTGATACTAAATATAAGTATACACGCCTATAAATACACAGGCACTATAGGTCTACGCCTCCCAGTGGCACAGCGATATGTCTGCAAACTTACAACGCTAGAAACCGGGTTTCGATACCCTTGGTGGGCAGGGCACAGATAGCCCTTGTGTAGCTTTGTGCATAATTAAAAAACAAACAAACAAACAATATAAGTCTATAAGATACAGTAATTTAGATAAATAATAAAATTAATATGTCCGATACTGAGCAAGTATAACACCTAGCCACACATGCTGCTTTTATAATTATTTTAAGGCAAGTATGTCTCTATAATCACATAAGTGTAATAAATGCTGTTACAGAAACATCTTAAAATGTACTTTATTCGATACTCAAAATGTTCATATTTATACATGAGGCAGATTCTTGAGTTCATATCTCGGTTGGCCTTAAATCGACTTCATATTTTGTCCTCAGAAGTTCAGTTTGTAAGACTGAGGGGTTATAACGTACAGACAGGTCTTCAGTACTCACGGTGGGCATAGCATAGATAGCCCATCGTATACCTCTGTGTTTAATAAGAAACAAACAATATAGAAAAAAATCATAATCTGCATAGGCTGGTGTTTCAACGTTCAACTACTCTTCGGGGTTATCAAATAAATCAGGATTAACGTATGGTTTTGTTGCTGTTTCATCTATATTCATACTCTTTAATTACAAAATAATATTTAAGATTGTTCAGCTTTCCATCAAGATTGGACAGTCAGGTTCTCTTAATGTTTCAACTAATAAGATTTGTAAACCGAAAAAAAAATTGCCTGATAAACAGAGAATTAGGTTTTACGGTAAAGTAACTTATGATAAATATAACTAAGTGATAAAAGTTGCACCTTAAAAAGATTGTTTTTTGTCTTTAACCTTGGAGGTAATAACACATGTATTTATTTAGCACATCAGCTTTAATCTCATTTCAATATAAAGAGCGTTAGAAAAAGTTCAGTTCCCATCTAGATTCACCTCAAATATTTTACTTTCCTTTTAGAGGTTTTAAAGATGTTTTATAAGATATATAGGTTTACATAATGTTACAAAGCACACCACATATCATGATTTTCTGAGAATTGAACTCCAGCTGCGACCTCAGAGGTTGCCTTCTCCCCATTTTAGGGGCACGTTTTATAGAAAAAAATAGACGCTGCATAACATTAAGCTTTATATAAAATATGTATTTTGTGTAAATTTATTGCAGATGCATAGCATCCACTCTACTAAAAGTGGATGTTTCCAGCTTCATAACTTCTCAAGAGATGGCATCACCTGTTTGCAGTGATGCAAACATCCAGTCAACATGGCGGAAGCACACAAAGGACGGTGAGTAATTCAATAAGGATTTATAATAATTTTCATAAAAGGGTTAAATTTCATTTCATTATTTATACATAAATATTTTTCATTGCAGAACGTTAAAAAAAAAGCTTCAATATATGTTACAAAGAAGTTAAAAGAGAGAAAATTATTGGTGGAAAGTGCCAAAGATGCAGAAACACAAACGCGTATTTCGAGTAGGCCTACATGATGGAATAATGATATATTTGGTGGATCGTTAAAATTTTTAGAGCGCCTCCCCAGCGTCTTTCTTGTATTCATCAGTGGCAATCCCAGACCTTTTTCATGAAAAACACAATAAAAACTATTTTTGGAGAATCTAATGTTAAGTGTAAGAGTGCTATTATAGGCTATTTCGTATTATTTACGACATTTCTTTACCTCATTTAACATTTAAAAAACTAAGAAAACTCTTGTGAAACATATTTTAGTTTATTATTATTATTTTCATGTATTTAATGATTTCATGATTACAACTTAATTTTGGAACTTGTTTTGTTACTTATCTTTACATTCTTTTTTATATATTTTTGTATTTATTATTATCTAATTTAGATGTTTGATTTTATTTTTATGGTTATCGAACTGTGTTGGTTTGATGACTGTTTGAGTTTACAGTGGAAAGAAGAATAAGTATAAAGATTGTTTGTTTGTTTTGAATTTCGCGCAAAGCTACACGAGGGCTATCTGCGCTAGCCGTCCCTAATTTAGCAGTGTAAGACTAGAGGGAAGGCAGCTAGTCATCACCACCCACTGCCAACTTTTGGGCTACTATTTTACCAACAAATAGTGGGATTGACCGTCACATTATAACGCCCACACGACAGAAAGGGCGAGCATGTTTGGTGTGACGGAGATTCGAACCCGCGAATCGTAGGTTGCGAGTCGAGCTCCCTAACCACCTGGCCAAGTATAAAGAAACAGAACAATAAAAGAAAATCTAGAAAAATGAGGTATAATATTAAAAGAATATCAAGAAGAAAGATAAAAACTAGAAGAAGGAATATTAAGAAGAAAATTACTCAAAATTAAAGAAAGTTACAGAAACTAAGGGTAGATTTAGAATACAGAGACATAAATTTCAGAAAGGAACTAGAAGAACGAGACATGCGATTTATAGAACAATTTAAGGAATAAGTTATTTGAGATATACAGAGGGATTACAATAACAAAACTGAAGACGTACAATAAAAAAGACATCATTCAAATATAGAAATATCATACCTAAATCAATGTGGTAGAAAAGTACATCAATAACAGAATAAATTAACTGGAAAATAAATTTGTAAATTCAAGTACCTAACTAGTCAAATCTCTCTCTCTTCTTCTGCCAAATAATTTCAACCCAAAATACCACTAACTGTGAAATATGGAATAGGAGAACCCATCTGCGCTATACCTGCCACTAGTAATGCTATGCCACCTATGACATGGAACCATCCTGGACTATTCCAGTAATATCAATGCCTAACTCAGTTCCAGACCTTAGTTTGACAGTTCAACAACATCACCCAGTTGAGAAACCAAAAGATTATGACCGCAAAATACCATGGGAGGCATATCAGACTTAGTCCAATATAATTTATCTAGTAAATAAGTGGATTTTTGAACAACAAGCCTTTAATATTGCTGTTCACATTAAAACCCTTAACAACGATATCAAGTATTTATGGCTTCTGTACCGAACAGGCTGTAAGTGACATATTAGAAAGAAGTTTACAAAGCAATGTTTAAGAACAGTGTAAATGGAAAAGATAAGGCCTTAGCTGAACTTGCAGAAAACGTGAAAGGTTTGCTTAGTTATGTTATACAGATGCACCATGTAAAATGATGGATCCATTAGTCCACGATCAATTCACAGATGCCATAGTGGATGAGGGCATACAAATTAGATTAAAGCAAAGTAGATTTACATCGTTAAAGGAAGCTATCCAATCGGCGATTGAACTTGAATCACTCACTTAAAGTCATAGATAAGTAATTAAGTTTTGCATCCAGAAAATATGAATTTATCAGCTTAAATAGTATAGTAACATCAATCGTCTCTGCTGAATGTCTCGAAGAGCTGAAAATAATCATTTGACAACTGTTAACTTAAAATGGAAGAAGTAAACTATACTACATAAGATGTTTTAATTGCAACTTAAAAGAGCAGAGTGTCAGGAACTGCAGAAATAAACTTTAATTTGAGGTCTGTTCATTTAGGATACAGGAAGTAAACTTAAGTACAGAAGGTGTTTAAAATGTAACTTAGAAGGACATATTGCTAGATGCTGCTCCCAAACGACAACGGGACAAAGAAACTGCTGAAGTCTGTAAAATATAGACTTTACATCCGAGGCTGTGATGAATCAGTCAGTGACAATGAATCAAAAATATGGTATTTTGTGGATGGAAATATTCTATCTACTTCTCTACACAACATGATGGGTGGGTAACTGACATCAAGGAAGAGTGCATATTGGGAATGTATTTCATGCGGAGACGTAGGTGTGAGGCTAGAATATCTTCAAATAGCTGCACAGTTTTTGATCAACAAATCTTCATGCAATATATGATAGTTACATCACAGAGGTTGAACTTCAAGTTACAACAAAGATGGGTTTACAGAGTAATGAAGAGACTAAACCTGGTGTACAACAGAGAAGAATCCAGAAGAATAGGTGGTCTAAGCCAAAAGTATTTAGCACTGATTGTCTATGGAAAGACGTTGATCGGAAAACAGCCATCTGCTTAGCTTAAGAAGAGCCTTTGATAGTGATAAGTCAACTTGCTGAAGGGTCTAAGGTTCCTGTTGAGACATATTTCAGATATTCTCCAATGATGGAACCACCAGTGTTTGTCTTTGACTATTTATTTGTAAACGGCGAATGAAAATAAAGGACAAGAGGGCCTCATCACCAAATTCGTCTTCGAACATAAAGCAAGGAGGGCTAATATAGGGTTATTAGATTGGGCCATATTGAAAATGCAAACTTTCTGTTCTAGTTCATTCGATTCGTCTACTAGAATAGAACATCCAAAATGTCATATCAAGTTGTGATACCTGACAGGCGAATGGAGCATGCCCAAGAAGTATTTGTTGGTAGCCGACAGACTCTAGAAAAGTTAACAACACCAACTACTCAGTTTACTGCTACAGAATATAACTACCTTTCCTAAGGTGAGATATTGTGTATTGTTTTTTTTTTTGTTTTTTAATACATAACACAAGCACTTGCGAAGTGGGGACTTAAACTTGAAAATACCATTAAACAGATGTAAAGCAGCTTTCATATATTTTTAAACAATCTTCAAATTTTCTTTGGTAATGAAAGTAGCAAATGAAAAAATGGTCATTTTTAACAATAAAAAACACACCAAAGAATGAATAAAAAAGCTTAATTTTTGCTCTAAAACTAAAGCACGTTCAATGTTTGTAAATAATGAATTTGAGGTCATCTATTAACGTCTATATACGCAAAAGTTACAAATGTATTTAATTCGATTGTGTTTTAACTTTAGAAATGTGATTCTACCGACCTCGGAAGAGGACATGGAGGAGAAAAATATTATCTCGTGCCTACCACGTATTATCTCATGTTCACGATTTGTTATACCGAGCGCACGTACACGAGATATGATACAGAGCGCAAATCTTATTATCGCGAGAGCATATGTATGTTTCCCAAAATAAAACCACTCTATTATGCTTATAAAGCGTTGTTTGTCGAGTTACTATTATGATTCAGCGTGTTATGCTCGTCATAACGAATGATGTGATCCTTTTAAGATATCTGATTGTACTTCGAGAATGTAACGACATCTTATAGTTTCATTGCTTTTTAGATTTTAATTTAATGTATACCCTCTTACACATTATTATATGTGTATTCAATGCTACAGACAGTGAGTAATTTTTAATTAAGGTTTTTGTAGTTATTACTTTGATAAATATCTATATGTTCTTCGCACTTATCGATTTCCGACTCCAGTGGCACAGTGGTGTGTCTGCAGACTTAAACTGCTAGAAACCGAGTTTCGATACTCGTGGTGGGCAGAGCACAGATAGCCCTTTGTGTAGCTTTGTGCTTAATAACAAACAACAAAAACACCATATCGATTTCCATATTTAACGTCTGCCCCATTCGGTTCCTTTGCTTTATATGAAGGCATGGTGTTACTACACGTAAAACGGGTGTTTTAGAAAAACGACATTTTGTAAATATCACTGTATTAATAATGTGTCCATCATGGGCAGCACCAACCTCTTTCCAGTGTGGGGGCTGTATACTACATCTTAAAATAATCTTGTGGGCACACATACTGCAGTGTTTAGAAAGTAAACAAACTTTAACAATAAGCACTGTTCGTTGAGTGGGGTTAAAAGGAAGGCTGAGGCACATTATGGTGTAGCTTCAATAACAGCAAGCCACCGCTTCTCCCTGCTACCCAGGCTTCAATACTTATTCTAGGGAAAAACGTCAAGATAGTTTGTGAATTTTCCTTTCAGTTTGAAGTAACTTTAAGCTTATCTAATTAGTATAATTACATACAGGATTATTAAGGTGATTACTTACTCATACTTTCTTCTGTTTCTCGTAGTTATTAGTATTATTACTATTTCAATTTAATATCATATTCGCAAACTGATTACCGATATCAGTGATGATTTCATTATCTAACCCAAATCTTGAATCTAATTAACCCAGTAACTTTACTACTTCTAATTAACATTATCATTATTAATAATTAATAGAGCCATTAATTTATTACATTGTATTACTAAATATCAGGTTGCCAACGCATAACTTTTGATAGTACTCTCAAGACAAACTTAATTAACAAACAATTTAGTACTTTTTGTAAGTTATGTGTATTAATAAGACTTCTCTTTTTTTCCTTTTTTTTTATTTTTAGATGTCATATAGTTTTATTTGATTTCTCAAAACTAGTATTGTTCAGGGTTTTCAGTTTTACTTTTATGTAGATACCTTAAAATCGGT